CTGCCATATGATAAGAATTTACTTGCATCTCCACTGTGTCCAACTGGTTAATATGAAGCACCTAGTGCGTTGGTGAAGAAACCAGTTTTATGTGCTAGTTTGCATCTCAATTTCAGCTTACACTGCTGGTTAACAACAGTGTGAAGAAAACAAGTCTTTGCAAGTCTCTCACATTCGGCATACAGTCTCTGCATCAGCAAGTCCTCAATTATCACTCCTCATGATAACATATGGAAACTAAGTCTCTCGTGCCCTCAGTTTAAATCTTCAGAGGAACTCAGAAGAGATTTGACCCTCTGATAAAAAGACTCAAACTCTTAAAGGCGGACTAGTGTTTAAACATTTAATCTTTCCAGCAACTCCTGCAACCTAGCCATGCCACATGTAGTGCTTTGCATTCCTACTCAGTAGGTAGACGGTGAACCTGACATTCGGTTAGCCCAGCATCTTCATAAATTTTGTCCAAGCTTGCACTATGGAGAGGACACTCATTTTTATTGCAAGGGATTAATACAATATTGGAGACAACAATTACAAGTGACAAGCCCAACTAGTGTAGAGAAATGGCTATCTTTGACGGTTTTGGGGGGTTGAGTCTAACAATAGCCTTGCACTGGTCAGCCACCAGCCACTGGAAATCTGGCAGTGTCTAATTGGTAAGGTCCTAATCTAGTTCTGCCAAACTCCTTCAATGGGTGCTTTTAAGTTAGAATCTCCGCTCAACAAATGGAGAGAAGCCATCATACCAGGCAAACAGACTGAAACAAAATGCCAACTCTGATTCACCAGCCGATACATCAATGGAATCAGAAAATGACTTTCAGCTGGTCAAAATCTGTTCAAGATAGCTGTGACTGACATGGAACTTGATAGCTTGAATATTGACATAACTTCGTTACCAGAGATCAGGCTCAGTGAAAGTGGATCACTTTAAACAAAAACATCACACATTCATCTAGCAGGAGAAAAATTCACAGGAACACATGAGAAACTTGTAGACTTTGCTATAATGACATCACTACTCTCAATAATAGAACACCTACAACTGGTTCAGAACGTGATCTCTCTCTCTGTATCTCAACTTAACCAGGACCAGTTAATCTCATATTCTAACACTCTGCTTGAATAGAGAGGCAAAAGATTAGTTCAACGAGGAACTTAACACAGCAATCGACACAACAATCAGCGTAATTCCTAAATTTTTACCTTCTGGGCAATTTCAATGCAAGAATACATGTGGACCAGGAGGCCTGGCAGTCCTACCTTGGTCAGCATGTCCTGGTAAAGATAAATAAGAACACTCAGACCACTTGAGTTGTCTACCATAAACTACTACCATGAGGTTTCTGCAGTAACATCTTATTTCAGAACACACTATGCCACAAGATATCCTAGAAACATCAACTTTAGGGCACTGGCGCTAGCTGGGTATGGTCATTACTAGATATGACTCTGAACAGCATTCTCAACTTGTGCCGTTACCACAGATCACTCCTTGGCGTGTACCAGGGTTAGGCTGTAACCGTTGAAGTTTCTTCAGTCAAAGTAGAAATGCCGTCACAGAGACGTCCCACATGGAAACAGGCCCTTCGGTCCAACTCGTCCATGCCGACCAAGTTTCCCCGAACTAGACTGATCCTACTTGCCTGTATTTGGCCCATATCCCTCCAAACCCTTACTTTTCATGTATCTATTCAAATGTCTTTTAAATAGTGTATCTATACCTGCATCTACCACTACTTCTATGTGAAAATGTTGCCCCTCGAATCCCTTTTAAATCTTTCTCCTCTCACAGTAAAAGTACACCCCCGAGTTTTGAACTCCACCCACTGCAAGAAAAAAAGACCTTTTTCAGAAAAAAAAAGTGATGAGAAAAGAAACATCCATCTCCTCTAAAAATGCTTCCAGGTCTCAATTGGCAGGATCTGTCACCTGGCACAACTTTCAACATGGGCACAGTGGGAAAACAACTGTTCTGCCAAGGATATCATCACATCTAAATTTCCATTTGGTGGACTTTCTCATACCAGCTGAAGGGACAAACTAGGTGTGAAAGTGTCATTGATGCAACCTCAACTGATGTGTTCTGTTTTCTGCCAAATAGATTTTTCTGCTGAATAAGTATATTCACCTTATCTATGTCCCTCATGATTTTATAAACCTCCATAAAAGGTCACCCCTCAACCTCCCACACTCCAATGAAAAACATCCCAGCTTGTCCTTATAACTCAAACTCTAGTCTTGGCAACATTCTGGTAAATATTTTCTGAACCCTCTCCAATTTAATAATATCCTTCCTGCAGCAGGATGGTTAGCACTGTACGCAGTACTCCAGAAGGGAGGCTCACCAATGTCCTATACAACGTCAACATGATGTCCCAACTCCTACACCCAATGGTCTGAGCAATGAAGGCAAGCTTCTTAACCACCCTGTCTACCTGCGATACAACTTTCAAAGAACTACCTGAACCCCTGGGTCTCTGTTTGACAACACAACCGAGGCCCTACCATTAACTATATAAATCCTGCCCTTGTTTGTTGTACCAGAATGCAAAACATGTACCTCACATTTATCCAAATTAAACTCCATCTACCACTTCACAGCCCACTGGCCCAATTGCTCAAGATCCCTTTGTAATCTTAGATAACCTTCTTCACTGTTCATTACAGCACCAATTTTGGTGTCATCTGCAGACTTACCATCCATGCCTCTTATATTCTCATCCAAATCATTTATGTGAGTGACAAACAAAAGTTTACCCAGCAGCGACTCTTGCAGAACACCAATGGTTAGATGACTCCAGTCCGAAAAAACAGTCTCTTACCATCAAGCCAATTTTGTATCCAATTGAATTGAACTGAATTAGGTTTATTGTCACACGTACTCACATGAACATAGAACAGTACAGCACAGTACAGGCCCTTCAGCCCACGATGAAGTACAGTGAAAAGTTCACAACTCACCATCTTAGGTACGAAGGTGCCTAGGTACAGAATCTTAGGTACAGAGCAGAAAAATAATGAAAACAAAATTTAAAAAGTTAAACATTACAGTCCTTCTTACTAAGAAGGTAGAAAAACAAAGAAACACACAGTTAACAGTTCCAACACCAGAGTCCATAAGCACCTGGCCATGCTAGGCTCGCACTCCTCACAAAGGCTCAACCTCATCCCTGCTCCAGCTTTCGCCACCAGCTGCCCTCGGCTCGCTGCCCTTGGCAAGCTCTCCCTGAATCCCATGCGATCTAACTTTAATTAGTCTACCATGCAGAACCTTGTCAAAAGCTTTACTGAAGTCCGAAGACAATGTCTACCCCTCTGCTCTCAATCTTTTTGGTTACATCCTCAATCATCTTCGGGTCCACGGTTGACACTACCTTATTAAAAATTTTTTTTAAAAAGTTCCTCAACTTTGGGGACTATTGGAGAGACCATAACTAGGGGACAGTTTAAAGATAAGGAATCTCCAATTTAAGACAAATGTGAGAAGTATCATGACACTGAGGAATTCTCTTCCCCAGAGAGCAGTGGAAACAGAATTATTGAATTTTTTTAAGGCAGATTTAGATAAGTTCTTGACTAACAAGAGAGTCAAATGGTGAAGAAACTCAGCAAGTCTGACAGCATCTGTGGAGAGGGAAATAGAGTTAAGATTTCAAGTCCAATGACTCTTCTTTGGACCTTTAAAGGACACCAGTATATGTTGACTTCATTGATCTCACCAAGGCATTTAACGTTGTGAGCAGAGATGGTCTATTTAAAATGCTGGAGAAGATTGGCTTCCTGTCAAAACTGCTCTAAGTAATTACATTCTCTCTGGACACCATAAGTAATGCAAACGGAGATAGGACAATATCTGAACACTTCCAGATTTGGAGTGGGGTTAAACATGATTCTGTTCTGGAAGTGATGCTCTTTGCCACTATTATAAGTCTTCAAATTAGCTGCAGAGTGCCTACTTACATTCCAAAACCGTCGAAAAGCTGTTCAGGCTTGCTGCTCTGCAATCCAAGACAAAAGTGCACCAACTCAGGGGCAGCACCGCGGCTCAGTGGTTAGCACTGCTGTCTCACAGCACCAGGGACCCGGGTTTGATTCCACCCTCGGGTGGCTGTCTGTGTGGAGTTTGCACATTCTCCCTGTGTCTGTGTGGGTTTCTGCCAGGTGCTCCGGTTTCCTCCCACAGTCCAAAGATGTGCAGGTAAGGTGGATTAGCCATGCTAAATTTCCTGTAGTGTCCAGGGCTGTGTAAGTTAGGTGGATTAGACATGGGAAATGCTGGGTTACAGGGAAAGGGTAGGGGGATGGGTCTTGGTAGGAAGCTCTTCATTGGGGCGGTGTGGACTTGTTGGGCCGAATGGCCTGTTTCCGCACTGTAGGAATGCTATGACTCTATGATCTATGAAGTCCCCAGTGGGCAGTTGTCCTATGCTGATGATGCTGCACTAGCAATCCATAGTGAAGAACATCTTCAGCAGCAAGTGGACAAACTCACTGATACCTCAAACAAATCTGATTCGACTTTCACAGTCGGAAAGGCAACTATCATGTATCAGGGTGTTACCATATCACCAGCATTGACAATGTGATGCAGAAGGATTTTGATGGCTTCAACATCTGAATTCCAAAATCCCTAGCAGTCTGTTGTTGTTGCTGAAATCAAAATTTGCATCACAAGAGTTGCAGCTGTTATACCCGTGCTGAGTATGAGTGTGGAACAACTACCTGACTGAGAACACCAAACTGCAAGTCTACCAAGCCAGTGTTCTCAGTGTACTCCTATACAGTGGTGAGTTCTGGATAATAGATGCTTGTCAGTAGAAAAGGCAGAACAGTTTGCATCTTCACTGTCTCAGATGTACATTCGGAATTTCTTAGCAGGACAGCATCACAAACTCAGATCCTTGAGCATGCTAATTCCATCAACATACGCTCATTGCTAAGCCGAGTATGTCCATGCTAATTTGGTCACATTTATTGACTAGATGATAAATGTATACCTAAAGATCTTCACGTAGTGAATTGGCTACTGGTCCACGACCTCCTGGATATCCCAATTCTTTGCTACAAGTAAGATACAAAGATGGTGGACATTGACACTGTCAACTGGGAGAGTCACTGGTGGCTGTGACTTCGAGGCTGAATGCAAGGTACTGGAAGAGACAAACAGAAACAAAAACCTCACATGGTGAATAAAGCAACTCAGGTTAAATAGATGGCAGTGAATCATACACTTTCTCAGATGGCAGTCTTTGCAGTTTACATAATGCAGAGACTGCTGTGTTGAAGTGTGACTCGAGGCACAGGGTTCCGCAAACAATCATTTTATAAGACAGAAGACTTCCACTGCATCTCAACAGCCAGTACCAATTCTAGAAATCTAATCCATTTGACTTGGTGCATATGAGATGTATTAGCTTGATATTGTCCTTTGATTTGGAACTGCATTTATAAAAATATCCAGTTTGGAAACCAAGGTGGATGGGATTGCTACACTTTTTAAAAGCAAGCGGCCAACACATACCAAGTGCTGTTTACACTGCTGTTTGTTCAACCAATGGTTTTGGCATCAGGGCAGGGGGTGGGGGCAGGAAGATGACTGCAAACAAGCTGGAACCAGAGGCCTGTACAACATGGGATTCAGCCGCCAACAAGCAGCAGATTAGTTGGCGGAGTAGTGACCAGTTGGCAAAAGGTCTTAAGCCTGTCAATAGCTGTGATTAGCACACAAGTAGATGAAAAACTTGGGGGTCCAAACAGAAAAGCCAATGTTGCAGAAGAATCCAGAAAGTGAGATGCAAGTTGTGAACTAATTGCTCTATGCCTCTGTGACAGTACCTAGAGAAGCAAGATCCAGAGCCAAGTCCTGACAAATAAAAAGTGCATTTTGCAGTCCACAGCCAACCCTGTGTTTAGGGACCAATGAACCGCCTTCCCAGTTTTTCCTTCCACAATAGTTCCAAAGATTTGTGTGTCTTCATGGGTGGGTGAGTTATAAGTGGGGTACAGTCTTAGCTGGTATAGTTCGATGCTGATAGTTGAAAGCTGTAGCTCGAATCAATTTGTAATAAATAGTAAGTCTTGTTAAGTACAGTGCGAACCAAGTTTCTGTCTCTCAACATGGGTCTAAAAAGACATTTAAACTGGGAAATTTCACATTCTTTTATGAAAATTTTGGGAACAGTAGGGCTTGATTTTCAGTGCAATACCAGAATAAGGCTTCCTTTTCAAAGTATCTAGAGAATTTCTTTTCTTTTCTAGGTCACTCATTTGGGTCTGTTTCTTTGACTAAATTAGACAAAATATCATACATAACTGAATTTCAGTAACTCCCTGATGCAAAAGCATGAATCCTCCAATTAATATGGTCCTATCAATTACTTTTGTCATTGGAAATTAATATCTGCCTCTGTGAAGCTTATCTTAAAGAAGCATTGAAAGTTTTTCAGTTCTGTTATCATGCTCTGCCTCACCATATCTGTCAATTATGTGATAAAGTAAACATTTTAGTGGAACTAAACAAAGAAGAAATCATCCAAATCAAGAAATCAAAGAAATTCAAAATTGACACTGTCAACTGGGAGAGTCACTGACAGCTGTGACTTCTTGAGAATTAAAGAAGCGAACAGAAACAAAAAGCTCACCTGGCGAAGAAAGCAGCTCAGGTTAAATGAAGGACAGTATATGGTTGCAGTAGACAATTATTCACAGCCTAAACAAGAATCTTTATTTTCTGCATTATTCCTCAGCAAACAGACTATCAATAATAGCTTACCTTTCAACAAGAGTACTCTTAATTTGTTTCCTACGTCTTCTTCCAAAGGGTTTTTAAAAATTAAAATATTAGAAATATTAAAATCAGCTATGCAATATTCCCAGTACTCCCTGCAGTTTTCTGTTGCAACTACTGATATCTCCCAAGCCACCAAAAGCTACACAAAGTAAATAACCAGAATATAATTACCATATTACATAATTCATCTGTAGGAGAATTATCAGGCAGGTTTGGAATGGATGATGTAGAAGATAAAGGTGGATACTCAGTGACATTTTTACCCTGTTATAGATGTTCTGATGGTTTACAAAGATAGATATCAAAGTAAATTACTAACCTAATTCAACTGATTAAGAATCAAATCATAAACACTACAGGATTTGTAAAATTGTTACTTGAGCCAAATGATTAAGAGTGTCATAGTTTATTCCAGTCTTGATTGCTGTTCATATTATTACCAAGGTACTGTGCAATGCTTTATCTTCCTGAAAAGTTTCTTTTGCTGCAACATTGTAACTGGTGTAGTTACAACAATGTGCTTCATAACATTAAAAGGCATTGAAAATTCAGCTTCTTCAGTCCTAATACTCAGTACACCCTCTCTGTTTTTACAATTCTGCCCTCCTTTGGATCAATCTGCTTCCTCTTTAGCAGTTTGGGCTTTAGAAAAATAGCTCAACCCTTGTCAGTACAAAAAAAAATCATCCAAATGTATAATCGTAGCGAAAAAGGTGTACTGAGAAGGAATGTCTAAATAATCATGCACGCAAGCAAGCAGGAGGGGATCACAAGACAACCGCACCCTCAAATTGTTTTCAACCTCACCCTAAATTGTTTTCAAATATCACATTAATTCCTGTGATGAGATAAACCAGAAGATTAGGTAGGAGGTTCATGGCCGGTGATGAAAACAGTTGATCAGCACACAGATTGTTGTACATTTGAGACTAAATAATAACCAGAGAACTGATTTTTTTCACAAGTTCGTAGCCTGAAATCCAAATCTTTCAGCTTATCCGTTAGTATAACAAGTCATTGGCCATCTTCCAGGGCTCAGCAAATTTATATAGACACTGATGCTCCATATTTGATTCCAACTCTGCTTCGAATTCAATTGGATGAGGGGTGAAATGTACTTAGCAAGGATTCTCGTTTCTGGATAGATGTCAATAACCCATGCGGGACAGCATTTGAGGCAAGTGAGGACAGCATCAGGCTCATCTGTGACTCTCCAGCAACACATATCCTGCTGACAGTCACTATCCAGGCTCATAGATGAATAAAGAAAAAAGCTGTGCATGTTGGAAATCAGAAACAAACAGAAATTGCTGGTAAAACTAAGTATGCATGGCAGCATTTGTGGAGAGAAAGCAGAGTTAACGTTTCAGTTCCAGAACTACCAGTTCTGAAGAAGGGTCACTGGACCCAAAATGTTAACTCTGCTTTCTCTCCACAGATGCTGCCAGACCTGCTGAGTTTTTCCAGCAATTTCTGTTTTTGTTCATAAATAAATAGTTGTTATCCAAGCAAATGCCATTCATGGATATGTAATTCAGCAAGGAGTTAACATTTTCAAGTGGGAGAAGATTGGTGATTGGAAATATGTCTTCTCTCATTCCTGCATATGCACCATTTAGTGTTCAATTACATATCCGAAAATAATATATTTCAGCCAACCTTAATTTTAGATAGAAGCAGATAACTTGAATCTATGGGTGCATGGTTAAGCCATGCCATTCTGCACACAGTTACACAATGTTGTGCCAAGTGCTTAATGTTTTGAATTAGATGAACTGTAAACTGTACTTTCACTATTGCAATAGGTTAATTAGTAAGATTCTGCTAACAATGCCTACAAAGTGTACTACCTAATATCTGAAGATGAAGGGCACACAATTCTGTAAGAAACTCCCTCTAATATACAACAGTGTCTATAGTATAACTATTACATCTGGGGAACGAAACTCACCTCCAGAATAAAGCTGAAATTTTGCCAACTATTTGTCAGCCAAGCTTTAACCTCAAGTCCTAGCCACACAGCATTGCGATATACCAGCTGGAACCAATCAACGTGGCTCCCACGGTGAGAATTAAAAGATAATCAAGATAAAATCTAACAGGAAGTCTGGTTATGGCTCTCAAACACCCGAGTTGCAGGAGGAAGACTGCAAAGCCACTTCACTTAGATTGGAAGGGTCCATGTAAACAGTCACATATTCCAAACTTCCTTAGATTTTGGAAGGGTCTCAGAACTGGAAAATAACAAATTAATACCTTATTCAAGAAGATGTTTCAGACAAGATAGAGAGGGATATAAGGGGTGGGGAGGGGAGTTGGGTTGCGTTACAAATAAGGGAGAATATGACAGCTGTACTGAGTAAGAACACCCTGGAGGGCTCATCCAATGAGACCATATGAGTACAGCTCAGGAAGGAAGCAATCACTTTACTGGGATCGTATGACAGATGTTCCAACATTCAGCAGGTGAAAGAGGAACAGATATATAGACAGATTGTGAAAAAATGTAAAAATAACAGGGTTTTGTGGTGGGTGATTTTAATTTCCCCTTTATTGACTGGGACACACTTAATACAAGGGGTTTGGAGAGTGAGGGGCAGAACTTGTAAGGTGTGTCCAGGATAGCTTTTTGAAACAATATATAAATAGTCCAACTAGGGAACAGGCCATACTAGACCTGATATTAAGGAAATGAATCCAGCCAGGGATCGAAGTTTCACTGGGGGAGCATTTTGGGAACACTCCCCATAATTCTGTAAGTTTTAAGTTACTTATGGATAAGGATAACAGTAGTCCTCGGGTGAAAGTAATAAATTTTGGGGGAAGGCTAACAACCAACAAAATATTAGGCAGGAACTGGGAAATGTAAATTGGGGGCAGCTGTTTAAGGGTAAATCCACATCTTGCATGCTGGAATTTTTTTTTTTTTTTTTTTTTTTTTTTTTTT